TATCTGTGATTATAAAACTGATGGAGGAGGCTAAGGCACTACCTGAATCTTGACGCATATAAGGTCCAATCCAAAATAAGAGCAGGAGCATGTTCCAGACACTGAAGTGCAACATTTTAGGGAACTGTAAGCCAGTAATACCATGTTTGTTTGCAGTCAGTGTTTCTCTAGCGTACATATCTGGCTTCTGGTCGAGAACTGGTTTGTATCTCCCACATGTAGAGGTGTAGAAGTCTGTCTGCAGGCGCCAGCAGCGATGCTGGGAAAAACATGCTACTGCATGTTGACAGAACTGCCTCTGCTGTCAGAGCTGAACCTGAAGCCTTTGTGTCCAAGGCCATTTTGCTTTCAGAGTCAATATGAGTACACGTGAGTTGCCTTAGGAGCCTGATCTCTCCCTGCTCACAGCAGGGGGAATGTCGGGCTTCATTCTGCTTCCAGCTTTCCCAAAACTAGTTGTACATCCGGGCCATGGTGACCAGAAGCAGTCTGCACCCTTGACCTAGCCATTGAGAGGCCCTGATTTTTTTTTTCTTCCAATAAACCAATTATTTTTTACTATATAGCTTGATCAAGATTGTTTAGAATATTATCTTGAGCAGGTTGACGTAGTTGTGTTGAACTAAAAGTTTTCAAATACAGCCCTTCTTCACTTTGAATTTAACTCTTTGTCCAAACGTTGCTTGATGCCATTATAAACCCAAATTACGAGGCATGTCATTCATAGATTTCTATAGTAGCTTATAAAAAATTAAGAAACTGAGTAGATCCATGTCTAATAAATACATTAAAAGTTGTACACGTCTGTTCTGTGCACAGAAAACATGTTCAATCAATTTAGAATAAAGGATACCTTTAACTGCAAATCATCATGTTCCTGGTTAAAGAGCAAGAATGAGCATTTCTTTAGGAGAAGGAAAACAAGTAAAATAAAACAAGGTTTTTGCTAGCAAGTTCAAAATCTGCTTGTCTCCAGGAGCCAGGAGTGCCCATGTATGAAATAGGTCCCTTTTGTTTGTGCTGGTGGGTAAGGAACACAAATGTGTTGGTTTTCCTTAATTTCCCAACTGCAAAGTGGTGACTTCACATTTCTACCTCACAGGAGTGCTGAGATATGCTGATATCTCTTTCAAGTATGCATCGCTATTAAAATCGTACATCTGATCCTATTATTTCCTCCAGATACTTATTTGTAAATATATGTAAACTACTCCAATCATTTTCTGCCATGTGAGGCAGTTTAGGTAGTTGGCTGTCTTGACTTTTGATTCTGTGTGAGCTTTTAAAAAATAGTAATCAAATTAAAACAAGTGAAAAAGCCTGCTCACAAAAGCATTGAGTATCTCTGTCATGTGGTAGCCCTGGACAAAAATGTGACAGATAAGAATCGAAAGAAGGTATTTCTTCGGTACTTCCACAAAATATTTGTGTTCTGTGGAGATCTGAAAAGACTTCATGTTCCACAGTCACCTGTCTTACCATCTTAAGATCAATACGTGATAGCAGTTGCTGAAGGGTTTTTTTGCTGTTGAAAAGCTTTATACGTACTAACCCTGTTCTGGCTTTTTTTTTTTATTGCACAGTGGATCTGCTCTTATGGTGCAGCAACAGGTGCTGGAGCCTTTGCCATTGCTACAATTCTGGCAAAGTGATTTACCAAGATCCTGTGCTCAAAACTTTCCAGAACATCTGCCTTTTTTGCTTTGTTCCCTGCATGTTAGTTTCAGAACATTTTTGATTTATACTTTTTTAAAAAAAAAGCATCTCCCCCCCCACCTCCATCCCATGGGAGTTATTTCAAAGGGGACCACCGGAGTTCTTTGTCTTACCTCTAGTTACTAAAGGTCATGAAATTTAACCCCAATACTTGAAAATCCCCAGGCAACAAATCATTGTGCAGTAGGCATGGAACAAGAGAGTTCAGGCCACATTACCTTATGGCAGAAATAAGTAGGTAAGAAATGACTGGACTAATGTAGCATCTATGGATGCATATGTTGCAGAGAATGGAAGACATTTCCCAGGATGTGTAACTGTCTGCTCCGATGGGAAGATCATACAGTTCCACCTTGGTCCCAAATCTGGCAAGAAGTGTGACCCCAGTAGATGGCAAAATGTGCCACCCAGGGATCAATGAGCATTTTCAGTTCTCTGTGGCTGAGTCCTGGTACTCTCCAGCCCATAATCCAAGTCCCAGCAGGGCCATGAGAAGAAAGTTAAAAATACTTCAAGGTACATCTGGCTAGGAGGAGGGTCATAGCCCTCTGGGTGATTAACTGAAGCTCTGGAACATGGGATTTTGTTGTAATCTTTATCTTAACGTGTAACTGTAACTGTAATGGGAAAGCTGAGGGCAATCCTGTTCTCCCCCAAGGCCCTTGAAGCGTGGTGACAGAGGCAACTTATAGAGCCGCAGATCCTATGGTTTCAAACAATTTCCGAATTTGGTTAACTAACTGGAGTCTGAATGGGAAACAAATACTGAAGAAGGTTTGTCACTTGTTGAAAACGACTGTTCCATAGGAACTCAAGCTTTGGATAGAAAGGATAAAAAGGAGATGAAGTCAGCCAGGGAAGTGCTTTTTCTCCTTTTAAACAGGTGGAGCTCAGACCTAGTTTTCTCACAGCACCTGCGGTTTTATTTTCCATTTTTGTAAGTATGCATACATACCACAGCCATGACCTGACCCCGTAAGGAAGCTGCCTGCTTTCAGGCAGCTAACCACAACACACCGAACTGAGGATGCTTGCAACAGGTTCACCCCAGAGCCGGCTTTCCTTTGGTTTCTGATTTTGCTGCTTCATCTCTGTTGAAACTGCCTGCAAGCCGCCCTCCTAACGCGTGCAACCCTCTTGCAGGCCAATCTGCCCCTGCTGCAGCGGGAGCTGCTGCACTGTGCAAGGCTAGCCAAGCAGAACCCAGCCCAGTACCTCGCCCAGCACGAACAGCTGCTTCTGGATGCCAGCACCACCTCACCTGTTGACTCCTCAGAGCTGCTTCTCGATGTGAACGAAAACGGGAAGAGGCGAACTCCAGACAGGTGAGCACCGCTGCGCCTTGCGCACCCTGCGCAGAAACGGCCCCTGGGTCAAACGCGGCGAGCTCCGCTAGCAAGGGGCGAGCGCGTGGGTGGGTGCCTGGGGGAACTGGGATGGTGTTCCCTGGATGCATGTCCTGCCCTGGTTATAGCTGTGCAACAGCCAAATTACCTTTGTGCATGTGTCTATGTGCATATATACATATATGTGTGTGTTTCTCTGTGTGTGTGTGTGTGTGTGTGTATAAATATAAATATAAATACATGCATACATTGATTCAGGCAGCCTGAGGATGCGCCGTGGTCATATCTACATAAAAATAATACCGGCTGGCCAGTGCCATACTGCCTATTTAGTGCATAGTAATTTTCTGCAGCATAAGGTGGTGAGCAGCAGATCACTGCAGCTCCTGATGCAAATCCTTTGTATTTGAGGTTTAGTTGGATTAAACAGTAATTACGGGGAAAGTGGCTAGGCACTCTTGTTGGGAAGTACAAGGCAAGCTCTGGAGTGCAGTCAGGGCTTTGACTCCTTCTGTTGTGCCATGTTTCCATATCCGTATATCCAATATGCATAAGGAAATTTCGGGGGTTTTTTTGTTGACCTGAGAGAAGTCCATGCAGAAACAGGGTGAGCAAGTGTGTATGTGCGAAGTACAGCAGTTTTAGGGATACGGAGCATTTTTCTCTTTTTCTTATTTGAATAAAGTTCTTTGTTTAGTGTTACAAGAAAATTACTCTTATGGTTATTTATTTTTAACTGTCTTCCCTTGATAGCGTTAGAAATTTGGCTAGCGTATAAATGGTAACTTTAGGAGGCCCAAATACTGGATTTTTCTTAGGTTTGTTTGCCATGTATTTATAGCATGGACAACTTTTATAATGCTGCTCTGCCAAATGCCACTACCTGCATGCGCAAGGGATTGCAAGTGTCCTAGTTATATTTTAAAGGAAAAAGGTGAAGATTTACAAAGTCAAGAAGGCTTGCAAGTTTGTACAGGTGATGTTTTTGTGTAGGGACAGGCTGTGATAGCACAAAGCCTGTGGAGAAAACAAAGCCTGAAAGTTCCTGAGGCTGGTGCGCAAAGATTCAACACCAAATATTTCAACATATTATGAAAGTGAGATATTAATGATGTAGATGCAAGATCTTGAAAATGTCGGTATAGTAAAACTTAAAGCTACTCAGAGCCAGAAGTGAGCAGTAAAAATTAAAGTAATGTAGCCATTGGATAGACAAAAATGTGAAAATATTTTGCTTTAGAGCGTGTTTCAGGAAAATCCCTATGGACCAGCAAGAAAAGAAAAGATACCAGCCGAGAAGCCCTTCTCCATATACCCTGTTTTCACCATTTTTCCTGACAACTAGACCAAACTGAAACAGCCATTAGTGCTAATACAAACCTGCTAACTGCATCCAAGAAAGATGATTAATTTTCAGATGTTTCCAATGGAGTCTCTTATTCCATGCAAAGAGATAATGTGCCAAAGCTGAAATTTGGCTCCCTGGGGCAGTTCTGCTGTGTGTCCTCAGTCTGCAGAGTGGTGTACCAAAATGTCTATTAAGAAGGCCTCTTAAAATCTTGTGCATCTTGTGAATAACTTAAATATCAGCATCTTGTAGTCCAGCGTGAGTTGCAGACATGATGTTTTTCCTACAAATAGATAGACACACATTAAATTATCTCATAAGCCCGTGAGGTCTTGCTTGACAGAGAACAGAGAGGATAAGAGGGGTGTGCCTTCCTGACAACCCTAGCTTACTTTTTTTCCTGTTAATAGAGAGCAGTATTACTTGCTTCTCCCATAAGGCCACAAAGGAAAAATGGGCAATAAAATATTTACTTTATTCTTCTTCCTTAGCATTCTGGAATAATACTCCCCCCCTTTGAGGCCCAGTTTGACAGTGCTGAATTTTGGTTATTTTGTAATAAGTATGGTCTCACCTATGGTACCTTTAGTCCTGGTTGCATTGGAAGGGATGGGTGGTGCAGGTGAAGACCGGTACAAGAACTCAGTAATGAAAAGACCCCATATGAGTCTTACAGCACAAAGGACATCAGAGTAGCCCATAAGGGCACCGGCAGATCAGAAGAATATTGGATTTTAAAGTCAGCCTTCATCTTTTAATTAAAACTGAGGTCTAGACCTAGAGAGATTTAAGTCTGATTTACGGATTTTGCTCTCAGTGTTTCTTTTTAGTTAAAATACATAGGTGCTCTTGAAACTCTGAAGTCTCTGCTCTCAAGTAAGTACCTTCACAACTGAAGTCTCTTGCAGGCTTCATCCAGTTCAGGGAGTCTTCAGTTCCCCTCTAGGTAGTAATGCAGTTTTGGGGGTGAGTGGTAGACAATTTAATTTCCCATGTTGTGGGTGAGACACTGTGTTTGAATTTCCAGGGTCCGGGGAGGGGCTGTAATGTGAGGTGTCCCAATGGCCCATGCGCTCTGAGGTGCCAAAGCTATCAACTGACAAATTCTGTCGATCGCTGCTTGAGACTAGGTTCCCTAGTTCTGGGGAAGTGGCATTTCAGAGAAACCCATCCTTTCTTTTTTGACCCTGAGATTCTTTGCTGTCATGAAAGACCTAGAAAGATACTGCCCAGCTCACCCACTGGTATGGTGCCTTGAGCTTAAAAAATAAGTTGGCTTTCTGCAGTATCAAGCAACCCTGTCACTGGTTAGTCACACCTACTTCTCTGCTGACTGTAATTAAAGCTATACAGAGAAAAATAAACTCATACGGTAGTTTTGGCTGAACCGAATTAGGTGGAGTTGTCTCGTGCACTCAAGAACATTTGTACTAAAGATTTAGTAAAATGAACAAGGTCCTGTTGGAAAGATTCTTAAATCTACTGAATAGGAGTTTGCATACCTTTTAATTTGGATAATGTAAGTAAATAAACCACAAAAACTTGTCCTTAGAGTCAGAGCATGCCTAGATTGAGTGAGCATTGAAACCAAATACTTGCCTTGCTTTATACTCATTACACTATTAATTATTTTAATTGTTTACAGAGGAGCAGGAGGAAACATCTGGAAATATATATACCTTTTGTTTAGGTATCTAGGCAGTTTTCAAATACAAAAATATAGCGGGAGATATGAGGCATCCTTTGCGAGGAGGGTTTGCTGTGACTGCTGCTAGAATATGGAAAAGAATGACTAAAAGGTAACATCTTTCCAGGGGAACTAAATACAGTTGGAATAATTTTGTTTGGAGATAGATCTCTCAATAGAGTAAATTGTGGTATCTTTTTCACTTCCCAAGGGATACAAGAGAGACATATATATATATTGTTGTATACAATGTGTATGTAATAGAACTCTCTCCCTCATATATAGATGCATGTGTGTGTGTATGATATGTACACATAAATATTAGAAATATATATACACACGTTCTTCCATATTTGCATTTTTCTTTTTGGCATGGGTAACTGCATACCATTGATTCCAGTTGGGGTAAAATACGGTAAGGGATTATGCAAAGGAAGTAGAATGTGTGTGTTGCACACAACCACATCCACCTTGTGGATTTTCTGTTAAAGAAAATTCACATACAGTAAATTTTTCTGCTTATAATTTCAGAACCTTTTTTGCATATGCATTTTCCAATTCTGGTTATTTATCTGCATATCCAAGTCTACTGTATGTGAGGTTTTATAGAGCAATCTGACAGCAGAGCTTTGTGTTTTACTGAATGTTTTCTTGGTGCATATGGTCTGACACGGATGAGCAGCCACGGTGAGATTTTGGAGTCTATTAAACTAGCTCATTAAAAAGATCAATCTGTTTCTGTAATAACACTGGGAACCATCAGTCACTGCAAGAGAGGAAAAACTGACACCTGAGGAGACAACACATTTTGGTAATTTGTTCATGACACGTCATGAACAAAGTGTTCACTATATTTTGTTTACAACTTTTGAAGTTTACGTTCTACTGTAGTAAAGCAAAGGAACTTGGACCAATGTGAGTTTTTATTTTGGTGAATGAATGCTTAATTATAAATAACATGATTTTAAATACATTAACGACAAAAGACTTCTTGCTAATTAGTCATCCTTTGATCTTGCTGGGAAGGGCTGTATGGCACATGAGCGTGTCTTATAGTGACTCTACACTTATGACAGCTGCCTACAAAGTGGATATAGGATAGCAAAATAATCTGTTAGAATAGCTCTAATTTTGAGTGAGAAGAAAACAAGTGGCCATGATTGGTTTTTGACTTTAGAAAGCATGGCTGTGCTTGCTGTACCCTTGGCACCCCTGACAAGGAATTCATGTTGAAGGTACCTAGGCACAGAGACCAACTTCAATAATTCTGCTAGGTAATTCTTCTTATTTGAAGAAGCTCCTCCACATCTCAGTAAGGTGAAGATGCTCATGGCTCCTACAGCTGTGTTCCTTGTAAGCCATATGTAGTCACGAGGAATTTTAAAAGAATTTTCTTAATATGAACTGTTAGCAAGGTAATATTAATCTTTTCCGTAACACAGTATTGTAAAGAAAATATTTTATTCCAGCAAAGCATTGTCACTTGTTTGGTCATCAAGACTTCATTGGTGGAAGTCCAATTTTAATCCAAAGCATCTTGCACAAATAGCAGATGAACAGCTTTGCCTCCTTCTTGCAAGCTGACTTCAGTGTTCAGTGAAATTGGTGAAATACTCTTGATCAGGCAAAACTTAATTTTCCAGCCAAGGCAGTTTTGCATGGTCAGGTTTCCTACCCAGAAATTATCCATAAATTGCGATAATTTAAAACTGAGGTGATAACTTACAACCAACATAAAGTCTGTTAAATGGATACAGACTAATGACTAGTATCAATTCTGCTATCTTTAATCTGAATAAATCATGGGTCCAAGTAAACCCTTGCATGTTCATAGCTGAAAGACCCCATCTTTATCATATTGCTGGTTTTCCAAATGACAGCATCAATTTATGTTCACGTCAAGGAAAATGTGACCAACAGGAGCAAGGAAAAGAAAAACAACAAAATGTGTCAGTTAGGCTTCCTACACATTCAGTGTTATTTCCTCTCTACAGCTGGTTGTTGTTTGAAAAGTCAGAAGAATCCGATGAAAATTATGGCAGTTTTGGATTTGGAACTCGTGCAGGTCTGCCAATTACTGTGAAACAGGAGCGCTTCCTCGGGTGCCTGGGGAAACGTTGCTGTCCCAAGGGGGTGAGGCCTGGAAGAATGAGTAGGACTGAGATCAGAAGCAGAATAGTAGGTTGAGTTCAGGGCATCTGAATTATGGCACGCTTCAGTACTTTGTCTTTTATCACTACATTCAACATATTCAGACATCGTAAATTTGCCAGTGATTGCTGTTCTGATGAGACTTTGGAAGTTGTTACCTTTTTATATACTTTATATGGTCGGAAACACAAAATGAGTTTATCTATGGTCTCATTCTGGTATTCTGCCAAGTTATTTACTTGGTGAGTGCAGAAAATATACCAAAAAATTGTAGAATTAAGGTTTTAACTCCCAAAAAAGACTGGGCGTTGCCCAGCACAGTAGCAAAAATAGGAATTTAATTTAAGTGAATGTGTTTTCAATGGTAATGTTAATTTCTATGTTAGTTGAACTCAGAGTTCTAGAAGAAAATGGGATATTCTGATTGTCCAAGCTAATGCAGTGCATTCCAGTTAAGCTATATTAGTACAAATCATTCCTAAAAACCCACAGAAGCACCTGTACAGTAAGGTGCAAATATGTAAATTTGTATGAAAATATATGATTTTAACATGTAATTATAGTGCAGAAAAGGAAAATTGGATTCCTACTTGTCACAGCTTTCTGGTTTGCTTTTCCTACATGGAGTGATCAAAAAAAGTCAAGTTATTTAATTATTTACTGTTTCTGATTTTTTCTTAGGGCTTATTCTAACTGTAACACTAAAGAACTTTGGCAAAGGAATAGCTTGGCTTGTACATACAGGACAGTCCATTTTTTGCTTGCATAGTATTTTTACAATTGAAAGACCTGGGCATTGAGTTTGAGTAGACATGTGCAAAGAAAACACACACCAGCAACTAAATACAAAACTTGACTTGGAGAGCTGTCAGAAACATCACTACCCATTGAGAGTATTGCAAGAAGTTCCATCATGTCAGAAGTCATTAAAAATACATGATGGTCCTCAGGTTTTCCTGATTAGCAGTTTCCACAGCCATTCTGCGTTTGCTTTGGACCAACGTACATACTCCCCTTTACGAAGTATTATCTTTTATATCTCTGCCCAAAATTAGAACAGCTGTCTTGCTGTATTGGTGAAAGTTTCTCCCCTCTTTGCCAAGTTAAGGTATAATAAAAAATATGTACCTGCAGCTTCTCATTAGTGATTGTGGTGAGGTCCCTGGAAAATCTCTTTACTCCTTCTGAAAACAGTGCAACCCATCTTTTCATTTCCTGCTGGTAATTGCAAGACCTTACTTTGATCCTCTCTCCCAATGGACATTGGCAAAGATTCGGTTTCATCCTTCCTCTCATGGATGTTAAAGGAGAACCTACTGAGGGGCAACACTGACTGTTTCTCCACAGACAGTCCCTCAAGGTTGGTTGGTTTGTGGGGGAGGCTTTGTTGAAGGGCAGTTGGTTTTAACAGCAGGCAAACAAGACAATTAAATTTACCTTCTTGTCAAAGTGACAAAAAATGTGGTTATTATTGGGAAGATAAATTATGCCATCTGTAAATCATGGAGGAGAAAGTTCTCTTTAAAAAAGGCTGGAATATATCAGCTGTTTAATAAAAGTTTTTGGAGGAAGGGATGCAACCTCAACAGTTTGTGATATTTATTTCTAATAACCTTTCTGTTCAAAGCTAATATTTTGTAGGTTTTGTTTATTCCAGTGGTAAAACGCCCCCATACTTCAGTGAAATGCAGCTTCCCTAAAAGGAGTTGTGAACCCTGCCTTTTTTTATTTTAATGGAAGATGAGTTTGGTGTGAGTTCCAGCTTCTCAGGCAGAGGTGCAAAATGGAGACTTCTTTGGAAATAGCTGATTATGAATTGACGTCATGAGTATAAAATAAAAAACTGCCCTTCTCCTTGATAACTCTTCAAAGTTTCCTGAGCAGAAAAACCCTGTCTGAGAGTAACGGAGTGGGAAATCTTGGACGTTATTGAGGTCTTGAGTCTAACCACATCTTCTTGGAAAATTAGTGACAGGCACAGCACCTTTGGCTGAAATAGCCCAGATGGTACAAAAATATCTAAAGGAAGCATTTCTCATCATCTAGAGTCATTCCTGCCCAAAGTCTCAGCATGACACTGATCTTTATGGGAGCTTCTCCTGGTGTAGTATGTATTGGCAAGCTTCAGCCCACTGACATGCACTACCATAAGACTGTATGCTTTCCTCTTGAAAAAAACCCACACTTGCTTAACTGCAGATTTCCCGTAATGACTATATGCTATAGCCCTACTGAAAGCAGGAGTTTCTCAGACTCTAGCTTCATGTATCGGTTTCAACTCTGCAATTAAGTGTGTATCCATCCCATCAGTCGGTGATTTCAGGGAAGGCTGCTCTCTCTCCAGCCCCACTCTTTAAGCGGCTCTATCGGAAGGCTCACCTTGCTAGTATTTCTCAAGTTACAGGGACAGTTAGGCGAGGTGAATGTGTCTTTTGTTCATTTTGAATAAGCAGTGTTATGAAATGTTCTGCAACGCCACGCTCTCGGAGCAAAGTGAAAGAACAAGCTTTGGTCCCTGAAGCTGCACATGTAGGTGGGAGGTGTGTGTTTGTGAGCAGCTCGGCTCGCTAAGTGGATTAAAGTTCCTTTGCTTTGTTTTTCAGAACCAAAGAAAATGGCTTTGACAGAGAGCCTTTGCACTCAGAGCATCCAAGCAAGCGGCCCTGCACTATTAGCCCAGGCCAGCGGTACAGTCCAAATAATGGCTTATCTTATCAGCCCAATGGTCTGCCTCATCCCACCCCACCTCCACCTCAGCATTATCGTTTGGATGATATGGCCATTGCCCATCACTACAGGGACTCATACAGACACCCCAACCACAGGGACCTCAGGGACAGAAACAGACCTATGGGTAAGGCATGTTGATTTTCTGCATTGTTTTGGTTTTTTTTTTTAGGTTTCTTTTTTCCTCATAATTATATTCTGTATTTTGAACAGGGTTTTTTTTTTGCTGATTAAATATACTTGCCATTCAGATGTAGCCATTATAGGTGTTTGTCCATCTAGCTGCTTCTGATAGGCTTGTTTCAGATTTATATTTGTAAGAGTGGATTGAATTGTGTCTTTGCTACACACCAAAGCAAGAGAGGCAGAAGGAAGAGGAACCTGTGCTTTCACAGCCGCATAGATGACATGGGCACTCGGGTGTCTGGCAGGCAAGGATAGGTAGAGCCTTTGATTTTTCTTTTAATGCCACGTTTGTGACTATAACAACATCGGTACAGCTTGATTTCAGCTTAGACTAGAGGAAAGCCTTTGGAGAAGTGTTTCATGTGTGACATCCCAAGAGTGCACTGCAGCGCAGGGATGTCTGCAGAAGACGCGAACAGCAGAAGCACCAACCACACCCCATGCAGCACGTTTTGGTTTAATGGGAAGTCTGATGCTCTTGGATTTGCCTGGCTTGCTCCACATCTGCACTTACTGTTCTTCCTTGTTTTAAACAAATCTTCAATAAAAGAGGAACGTTTACAAATATTCAGCATCTGTATAGAGGAGGCTAAACAAAGAGCAAGTGTCGGTTCCTCTTGAGTGTTGATAATAAATACTGGCTTGGTTGTATCATGTTGTCAGCTGCTCTGATATATGTGCTACATTTTAACCACATGTTGTTTAAACATCTGTGAAGGGATGAACCCTTAATGACGCTCTGTTGACATGGTAGTAATTACTGCATTTAGTGAAATAACATTGAGTTTATACTAATATTTTTTCAACTCTCTGAATTACAGCTAGTATAGGATACACTGAGTTACCAAATAATTGTCTTGCTGACTTCTATAAGTAGTGCAAATGAAAAATTATATCTAGTAAGTGATATATATGTATGTAATAACAGTGTATAATCAGAAAGGGTTATGTCCATTTGTGAGAATTCATTTTACAACCTTCAGAACTTGCAGAATTGAAGACATTAAATGAGTAAAACAGTAGTATCTTGTGTGGGGAAAAGTGCTAAAGAGAACTAAGAGTGAAGTTTTTAAGCATCCATTTATTTTTGTGGTGTCATTCCTGATATTAGACCAGGTAATGTATGATATATTTGTCTGATAGGCTCTTTTTTCTTTTTTTTCCCCCTAGAGGACTCCCAACATTGTAAACATGATTTGCTCCTTTTTGGCAGGGTTGCATGGCACACGTCAAGAAGAAATGATTGATCACAGGCTAACAGACAGAGAATGGGCAGAAGAGTGGAAACACCTTGACCATGTAAGGGCTAAATGTACTCTTATGTATAATTGTCTGAGAGGAGCCCTCCTAAGATAGGAATTTGAAGTTTTTCTTTTAAAACAAATCTGAATCCCTGGGCCAGTTTTTAAAATATTGGTGTTTGGGCTTATTGTGTAGGGGCTTAATATTCCTAATTAGGTAGCTTATATCAGCCCTTGCTGTAAAGTGCCTGTTGCAGCATCCTAATTGTTACAGGCTGCTAAAAGGGGAGTGGACTCTTTGGCTGTAAACCCTGGATCTGGGACACATGACCCAAACCCATAGTACTGGCTAATTGGATTTGTTCTTTGAATTTGTTAGTACTCATAACATTTGTAGGCATCAGTTCTGGACCAGATCTCCTGGCCTCCATGCTGCCATGTGGGACTAGCGGTGGGACTACAGTCTGTTCAGTCTTTTCCTCTTCTTCTCCTTTTCCCCCAGAAATCTGTATCTGTACAGTTTAGGATCACCAGTTAAACAGGAGGGGTTTGTCATTCTTAAAAAAAAACTATATTTGAAATAACAGGGAGAGGCTCCTTCATTCTTAAACTCCAGGCATTCAGCCCATTAATGTTTTCTTTATTTTTCTGTCAGTTTATGAATAAAATGTTCTTTTTTCTTTCTCTGCTCCATCCACCGCTGTGAATAGCTGTTAAACTGTATAATGGACATGGTGGAAAAAACTAGGCGATCTCTCACTGTACTACGGCGATGTCAAGAAGCAGACCGTGAGGAGCTTAATTACTGGATACGGCGGTACAGTGATGCAGAAGATTTAAAAAAAGGCGGTAACAGCAGCAGTAGTCATTCCAGACAGCAGAGTCCAGTGAATCCAGATCCAGTTACATTAGGTACAGTATCCTCATTAAAAATTGTTTATCGGTCTTCCTTCAGCTCAGCTAAATGCTAGATGAAGTTTGTATTTGTTCTTCTGATTCCTTTTCCGTGATAGCCGTGAAATATTCCTCTCTGCTGACCACTGAATGAACTATAACCCATTTATGCTCTTTTATGCCCTAACAGTCATGTCTACACGTGGAATGGCTTGGGTTTTTGGGTGATGTTTGGTAGTTTGCTTTCCGTTCAGCAACGTCTGAGAGCGGTGGGGTGGGAGGCTTCTGTCTCCCTCCCTTTCCTGCTTGATTAAGGAAATTTGTAGGTGTTTCTGGGTTGTTAGCACTGTGAAACCCAGGGCTTTCACCTCAAATCAAATGCCTTAACTTGGAAGTTGCCTTTCTAAGGAAATGAAAGGAGATATAAAGATATGGGCACTTCTTAGCTCTACCTGGTTTCCGTATGAGAAAGAAACAACATCTGGGATGCCCACAGCTACCACACATGATCCTCCTAGGTCTGTGCCCACCACTGCAGCTCACACAGGTGTGTCTGAGCTAGTTTGGGTACTGCCCACTGTGTAGTTACACATTGATGCTCAGAGCTCAGCTCAAGCTGCAAAGCCCACTTATGAGGAGCAAACTGAGCAGTTGGACTTTCCACCCTGCAGACCTTCACAGTCACACTTGCACAACACCTCACACAACCACTCCAGGATGACTCCGCTGTATGAAAACAAGCTTCTGTTTTGTGGACTTTCTGTGATTTATGAATGTGTTGGCCTGCTTCTACCCCATCCCCTTACTTTTATGGCAGGTGTGGTAAAGAAACACATCTTGGTGATGACTTTTTATTGTTCTCTGCTCTTTTGAAGAGAACAGCAAACAGTGATTGCTTGTCTAATATTAGCCTTTTATTTATCTTTTATTATTGATTATTATCAAATAATCAGGCCATATCATATGCTATCTACTCAATCATCATCAACTGCAGTCATTATTGGAATTGCATGTGTGCTATTTTGCAACTATATTTTATTTAAAGCTGTGTTTTCCTTTTGCCCTTAAGAATAACTTATTAAATATAAAACTTATTTAATTGCAAATGGAAAAGCAGAAAAACAAATCTAATGCCCTCTCCATCTTCCTCTTGGTAAATCTCTAGAGTTCTTACTGTAATATTTAGTGCCTTTTGGTAACAAACAAACCTTTTGTGTGTGTGTGTCAAATGATCTGAGCCAATAGCTCTATACATTAGCTTCAGTCAGTGAAAGGAAGGGTTATGGAAATGCTGTTCCCAACTTCACTAATAAGTCTAGTCCCTAGAGGAGCCCTTCTCAGAAAGAAGCATTCAGGTAATGGCTTGTACGAATAGTGTTAAACGTAATGTAAAGAAAGACTCATAAATACAGCATCTGAAATGTCGATCACATCTGCATCTTCAGGAAGAACACTTGTGAGGAAATCCCTAGATCAAAAGCAGTGGCACCCTTCTCTAGTAAAGCTATGATGCAAAAAGAACCAGGTCATGGTGCTTGTAGGTATACTTAGTCGGTAAAAAAAATGAAAGGAAACAGAGTCTTTATGATTTCCCCAAAGAAACTGGAACTCACGACATTCACCAAAACTTTATAGATAGTACAATCCAAGAAAAATAGTCATAACCACAAAAACAGCAATGAAAGATAAAATGAAGTTTAAACATACAATTAGATTCCTATATTATCATTTTGTTTGTATATTTTTCAAAATGAATTGTTGGAAACAGCAAAGTGTTTTCTTAAAAAGACATGATATGGCACAGCCTTCGGCCTTGAACACACCAGTCACCTCTGCAGTACTATGGGTACAACTGGACAAGTTGGATTGAGTCCATTTCAATTTTAACATGAACATTTTGGTTATTTGGCTTTAAAAACTACATCTGAGACTCATGGACTTGAAACTTGGATGACTTCAGTGCTGTAGCATCCATGTCAATCGTAAATATTGAGAAGAAGTGCTTTTATGTCTGATATGTAAGGCAGAAAATACTTCTGAGTCTATGGAAAGGTAATCCTTATATTTCCTCAAATCTGCTAGTAATGTAGTTAACAATATGGAAACCCCGAACATTTAGAGGTACAATAAAATTGAAACAGTGTCTGTGAGCCTTGAGATGCTGTTCTATTTAGGGCTTTTTATTGTAGTTTTGAAGTGATGAGGAAGGGGTTGAAAAATTCTTCCAATATTTTAATTTAAGTGCCACAACATGTAAATATTGTTTTTTGCTGCAGGGATTCTAAATGTCAGTGATTCCCCTTTGTACTTTTTTTTTTTTTTTAATTGAGGTAATCCGCCCCTTAAATCCATCTTGTCATCTCCACTTGCGAGAGGGAAAAAAGGGGGGCCATATGGCTACATTGTCTGTGCCTTCGTTTCTTTTTCTTTATGATTAAAATATCATCATTGAAGTGATAAGTTCTTATGATAAACATTATGCCATGGTCTTCATAGAGAGCTCTTGCTGAAAAACTCTGAGCTGAAATTTAGCATAGATAGTTTGAGTCCAAAAGAAATTGAAGAAAATTCTGGTCGTCTTTTGAACCAGCAGACCTGTTTTTCTGCCAGAGATTTTTGTGCTTCATTTAATTCAACATTCCTGTAAATCATGTTGAGCTTGACAGTTCACAGTATCTGATCGATATTTTTCTGTTGATATTTTAAATTAAGAAATCAAATGAAATATTTGATAATTCATTTTAATGCAGTGTAATCCGATACACAGATTAGCCAGCTACAACAGGTTACAAGCTCTCATTATTCTCTGAGAGTGTGTTGAAGGTAAGATGGGTCCATTCTTTCCAGCCTGAATAATACATGTTTATGAAAGTCTAAAAATGACTCAGACTTTATATATATTCACTTGATGAACTGTGATGGTCTATGAAGTGAATAATACATCATCCAACCCCATTTCTGCTGAAGAATTTCAGTACTACGTACTGCAGCAGGACTGCAACTTTCATCCTAATAGTGAATAATTACACATATCAGACAATGTATACTGAAATACACAGTCGGATAAATTAAAGATGAGGGTTCTTCAACATCGTGGGTTATAAACAAGATCTATAACCTTACTGAGTGCAGCTGTGGCTCTAGATAAGTGGTGTAGGCACACATCAGCGGGTCTGCAGCGATGTTGATATTTTGTGTCTGTTGAATTTATCTGAATGGAAATCTTGCAAAACTAAGTTTGAAATCTCCTACTGAAGAGTGCCAATGCCTGCAGGATTTGCCCCAGGAAGCTAGGATTCTCAGAAGTGTATGAATTTATCAAAAACACATAGGTTAGCCATTTCTTAATGCATTTTTAAATGTTTAACCCTTTCAGAGCTGGTTTATATTTTATCAAAGGCTGTTCACCCTCGTACTTCCAGTGTTAGCCAGGGCATCCCTGCCGACATATGTCTGTTCACGCTGTGATTATAAAATCTTTCCTTTGCCATTTGCAGATAAATCGGCATTGCTGTGATATGCGTGATATTCTAACATGAGCTAAGGGGAATGCTGTGAATACCACGGTAGCATTTATAACTTGTAATTCTAGAACGTAAAGCCTCAGCAATACTGGTCACTGCTGATATTAAGTATTGCTCTTAATCCACTCACTGTTTGGGCTGGATCGTGGTGTACTGAGTTGCCTGCTGTTAGACAGGGCTACAGCTGCAGAAGCACTGTGGATTTGTGTTCCCCGTATTCATTTCTGACCTCCTTGGGACTAGAATCACTTTTATCCATTCCTTATACCACCTTGTTACTGTCATGCTTTGCAAAATAACTCGTGGCATGAAAGAGAGAAAATCTGTTGCTGCTAATTTATTGGAAGTTTGTTCTTGGTTGAAGATGATTCACTAATGCAGCAGCCATGCGGTTTTCCTTGTCTTACTCTTTTTAAATGAGAACGCGACTATATTTTTAATGTAATTTCATGTGTGCTCAGGGAGTGTTATAAGAGCAAGAAAAAAGGGCAAGGAAGGGCAAAGATATACATAAAAATACTTGAAACAAGAATAGCAAGGTAGTCTCATTCAGTATTACACTTCTTCAGATTTGTATCTATATATTCCATTAATTGGAGTGGCACACTTGAGCCTGACTCTTACAAACAAGGCAGTTAATATTTATTCCTCTGAGATGTTTGTTGCCTGCGTCCCACCAATGGTGTTACATCTACTATGGGGTAGAATGAAGCAAAACTTGCATACAAAATATGAAAAGCATAGAAATACATGTAAAAGCATATATGTTTCATATAGTTCAGGGCTGGTTATATGCAGCTTTTATTATGCTTGAGCCCTAATGTTCACTATGGCGTATTAGGGTATTGTTGTTACCGCCAGTGTTTTCATAAATACGCTAAATCCTAAAAGGTCCCCAAAAGATCAGCTGTTCTTCTCTGTTTCTTATTATTATGTTATTATAGGCTTTGATGTCATTTCCCAGTGGTAAAAACCTCCATTCTTTTATATTTTCGACCCATCTTCTTTTCCTTCCTTCCAAATCTGAATTAGGCTTTTTGACAGTTTTGAACACATCTTTTCCTTTTAAGTCTCTCTCTTCTGTTTTCTTGGGTTTGGCCCTTACTGTCATATGAGAGTCCGTGTCCTTTATTTGGTCCTAACTTTTCGTCTCAGTTTCACTTCCCCAACCCGTATTTATTTCTCCTCTTACAACTTCACATCTCTCTCAGTACTTTCAGCACCTATTCCCCTTATCTTAAAGCGATGAAAAATAAGCGGTCTACAGGATTTTTCTGCTTGCTGTACACCAGAAACCTATCTGATCAATTAACTGTTGATGATTTTTATGGCTGAATGCATTCCTGAAATAAATAATTGGGGCCCATATGGAACATAGCACCATATTGTGACTATAGAATTTTTTTTGGTGAATGTTTTCTTTCTTATTAAAAAAAAAATCCAGGATAGACTAAAAATAGTACTTTTTCTATATGTTTTACAAAATTATGTATTATGTTGTTCCATGCTATTCAGTAGAATGTGAGGTCTGGAACTGAGACCAATTTTTCTTTCTTTTCCTTATGTGTATTCTTATGCACCGGTCCAGTAACTTTATTGCTGAAAAGTATATTTCACATTAAAATAGAAAATAAAAAAAAATTTTCCATTTCAAAACCTCTAATTTATTTTTACCTCATGTAGACTTTTCACAGGCAAGTATTGAGTGCTCTCATGTATATGTGCTTTTTGTATTCCTTTTTGGGCTTTCCCATATGGTTCAGTAGGAACCAGACTGATTATCAACAAGTGCTCTCCATGAATTTCAATTAAATTCCATAGTTCCATAAATTTCAAGTAATTCCATAGTGTACACCCCTTTGTTCTGTAAAATAACGCTGTTGCATTTTCACCATTAACAAATCTGTATTATGTCTGACATGTAAAGCTTTTTCCCTTATCCTTTTCTGTATGAGGTGCCTTGTTACTTCAGGTTATTCCTAATTTTGTCTGATTTAGTTCCATTTTTTTCCAGGTAGAATTTGCTTTGACTTCTAGGTGCTGCAGTCAGTCGGTTAATGTAATGCATTCTTCCTCATTATGGCTTTCTGCGGTGGGTTTTACATTTAGTGGTTTAGAGACTTCACTTGGTTGTGTTACTTTTGGTTTGAGTTTGCCAGACATCCAAGTTAAGATCTTTTGAGTTTTAGTGAGCAAGTTCTGTGATTCTTAATCTGAAGCACACCTTACCTTAAAAATAATAGTAGTATAAGACTTAAATCCTCTGGTCACATCCTGTAGTTTAGCCCCCCAAAGAAGGTTGTTTTCATGGACTCGTCACCACTGACTAAACAACAGTCATGTTAATAATATTTTTCTTGCTTGGAAAATATGTTTTTTATTATCTTCATAAGTGCTTCTTGTCTTTTTTTTTGCGCACCATTCCAAACTATGGGAAAGTCTCTCACAAGCTCTTGATTTAATTTTTCTTGCTGAGGATCTCATTCCTCATGTAAATAATTTGTGGTTGGAATAAGAGCTTGATTGATGTTTATGTTTTGGAAATTTTAACAATTATCTGGCAATCTGGTCATTTATGTCATTGAATTCCATTTTTGGAAAGTCATGTGTACCAAAAAATTAGCTCCACATCTCTTTATTTTTAATACTAAGTACCACAGTAAAGGGCTTAAATCAAGGTTATGATCCCCTTGCAGCGGATGGTACCTTAAATAGCAGACAGGAAAACTCAACACAAAACACAAGATGTGAATGCAGCAAACCCCCTTGTTTTGCCACATTTAGAGTCTGGTTGGGTCTTTTCCTGCAGGTATTGCAGGAGAGCAAATAAGAGTGGTTTGATTTTCTGCCTTGGGTTTTCCTGAGCTTTCAAGCAATATTTTCTACTGCCTCCTCTGTCCCTGACTGAGCTGCCACTGTTCCTGTAAGTCTGAAAGCCTCCAAGGGATGAGAGAGGTATACACAATGATATTTGTTGTCTGCAGAATCATACGAGCCAAGTGATACTGAGAATTTTCCCCTTTTCAGCATCAGGTCTGAAGTCCTCTGTCATATCGATTAAACCAATGTAAATAGTTAGCTGTTTTGCAGAATCTTGCACACACCCACCCATCATTTTATGCTTGAGAGGTGTGAAAATCTGCCTGCAGAAATCCATTTTATTTTCATCCCATACTTCAGTGGCAAACAGAAGAGCTGGGGAAATCCACTCAGCTGCCTGTCAGATGGGAAGATTCAGTCCACCCCATCAGTGTCTGCAGATTCATGGGCTAGAAACCGCATCTGTGGAACAGCGCGCAGGGATTGGGATTCCCTGCTCTCTGCGTAGCTGAAACGGCCCCTGTCATTTCCACCTTTCTTGGCTGTCTGCAGTATTAAATATCATCTTTTAAATGCTTTTATGTTTCTGTAGCCCACTGTATATAAACAGTACCACATGCATATGTATGGCGGTGTAAAAAACAATTTGCAAAACCTAATGATTCAGACTTTTTCTTAAAAGTAGTACTTTTTGACCAAGTTATTGAATACCTGTAAGATACAAAAATGAATATATTTAGTAAAGATTGGTATTCAAAGAATGGCACGTGTACTTTTGTTACGTTTCAAACTCAGACATCAAACAGGGTGTTTAATTTCTAGCAACATCGCTAAAAAGATGCAAACCGTATCTCTATGTAATAAATCAATTTATTTTGTTTTGACGATTGAATTTATCACACAGGCAATAGTAATCATGGCAATGAACTTACCTTTATGGTTTGGGTTTTTTTTAATTTCTCCTCTATTACTTTGACAAATAGTTAAGCCTTTTTTAAAATTTTATTTGAAAAGAGCAGCTTTTCGTCTGCTGAGAATCTGTATGCTAAATTTCAGGCCAAAGTGAATGTTCTTTCTGTATTGTCTGATCTTGCGTCTTTGAAGTCCGTGTGGACGGGATCTTGCCGATTTCAGAGCTCTTAGGCACAGGCCCAGAGGTTAAACCCTTTAAAAAAAGAGGAGGAGGGGGGAAAGAGCTGACAAAATTTGATTGAAATATATGGTTGAATTATGAGCTTCAGCTCCAGTGAGGTTGTTTGGCAGCATTATGTATTTAGGGGCTTAACCTGAAGTTAAAGGTTCTGTTTTTCAAATTCCTGCAGCTACAGTTGCCAACGTGGGCTCAGATGTAGGAAAGCGTAGCCTCTGAACGTGTAGAAACACCCCTTTCTTTTTCTGTGGACAGCTTATGTGATCACTGGAATGACATCTTGGCTTTTATCTCCGCTTGTCATTAGCCATTCTGTTTTCATGGAGCAGAAGTGCCAAGTGCAGACTGTTGCCCTCTTTCTTCTTCCTTTTCATAAACATAATGACAAAGGACGAAGCACGTCACTCCCTCGGTTGGTCTCACAAAGCCAGCCTTAAAAGCATGGAAACTGGCATATAGAGTTGACTTGAAATGCTGTAAAATAAAAATAAAGCAAACTAGTCTTAGCTTGGCTAAAGATGAGATGTTTGAGTCCTAAATATTGATCTGGTCTATGTGATGTTTGTGAGTTACGGCCACGGCATCGGTTTTATTTTGTGTGAGAAAAAACTTCCTGTGATTTTTTTTCTATCGGAGTAAAGGGAAAAGGTATTTCTCTAAGCCATGTTCTCGACAAGCAAGCATTGCTTACGATGCTCTTTCTTTTTCCCTCTGCACCCCCTCCTCCTGCAGAATCGCATCGGGAATTCCTTCACAGGCCTGCGTCTGGATACGTGCCAGAGGAGATCTGGAAGAAAGCTGGTAAGAACTGTTTAAAAACACCAGCTTAGTCTTCTGGCAGCTGTGTGCAGTTGTTAATGCACTGATGTGAGGAATGAAAAAAAAAAGGGGGGGGGGGGGGAAAGCTTACTAGTAACGAGAAGAAATTGCGTTTAATAATCTTAAACTGGAACTGATCAGGACATGAAATAATCTTTATAATAGAAGCATCTGCTGCTATAGTTAGGGGGGATAGCAGTACTTCCATTAAGGACCCCCATTTTCTAGGGTTTTAATGGTTTCAGGCTGAAACTTGATATGCTAAAGTTTCAGTCTGTTAGCAATTTAAAAAAAAGAAATTTGTGTGGGATTTTTTTTTTTTTTTAAGCTTTAAGGGTCTTACCTAGTTAAGGTCAGAATTCCCAATGGAGGGGAAAAACCTAAGTATACCTGTTAAAGAAAAACCTCCAGCTATGCGATGTAACCATTCTTAATTTTAAAAAGATTTTGTGCCTGTCAGCCCCCCGTGAAGTCTGCACTTATGAACTTGCAAAGTTTTTAATGAAGTAAGCAAGATCTCATCGCTGCAGCTGCTCTGGGTGGTTGCACGGGCATTGACAGCGTCTTCCCTGTGAGCTTGAGAAGCACCATGGGCAGATGTTGTGGTTGTACAGAGTTTTTTTCAACACTTTAAAACTCAGCCTGAGCACAGGAGTTTCCTGGCGAGGATCCTGTTGCAGTGCTGGAGCTAAACCTTTGCTCTTTCGACATCGATGCCAGAGTTTCCTTGTTTCCAGAGGGGCCAGGAGGTAGCTCTTGAACTCCAGCAACGTAGTTGAGCTTCTGTATATACACTCATACATCCCCCCCCCAAGTTTCTGAGCAGGAATTAATGATTAAATGGCAAATATGCAGCACTTTTGATGCTTTCTGATCAAATCTCCTGTAACTGCTTGCTGCTTCTTGCTATATTTTAAACTAGATACAGAACATAGGTGTAAAAATGTTCTGCTGGCATAGTTTTGCATCAGACAAGGAGTTGTGTTGTTTGTGCGCTGTGAGTTTATCTTGTAAAGTCTACATTTGTCAATATATAACAATATTTTTGGAACTGCTGTGGTTTATATGAAAAGCAACACAATAATCTACAACTTTTTCTTTTGTCTAAGGCAAGTGTAGCCTTTGTAACTCAGTGCTCTTGTGTACCCAAAAGTAATTTCATAGTTTGTTTTGCCATATTTATGTTAACATCTTAAATGAAAAATAAGAAAAAAATATGCAGTCCCAGGAAATCTTGGTAAGAGGAGCATTATTCAGTTGAATTTCAGAAACTTTATTCTTGTAAAATTTGGGGTTTGATGTTGTTTGGCACATCAGATAATTTGTGACTCCTAGATGCAGTACAATACAAGAAAAAAAGTTTCTTCATAAGCTATCAATGCAAGTTAATTGAAGCTTTTGGCCTGAGTTATAAAATTGGATGTACATTCACTTTGCATATATCCACAAATGGTAGTGTAAAGGAGCTGAGACATGTCATCTTGTGAACATCTATGTCATCAGTTCTTTCGAAACAAAGTTTTTCCTTTGGTCCCATTTCTAGTCTTATTTTCATGCTGATGTGGGTTTAAATCAGATTCCCTGCATTAACTGAGTGTGCCTGTGAATAAAAAAATGCTGGCTCTCTACAAGATGCACACCTGTATCTGTTACTAAGAGCAGTAAAACATCAGAAAGCATACTGCTTTTCATAAATCATGGGCCTTCATTTTCAGGAGGGTGCACTGAAGGTGGTGGTCTCCGCAATTTCGTAATCAGTTCACAGCTGCAAAGGTGCAATTCAGCTCTGTAAGAATAGGTCTCTAGTGCCATTTGAGATGCTATTGCCTGGCTAGGCTGCAGCTGCCAGTCTGGAAGGCTGCAAATCTCTCACAAGCAATTTCTGCTGGCTCAGTGTGGGTACCTTGGTATCTCAAATGGCTGTGAAGACCAATGTGTAGACAGCTGAATCAAGTATAAAAGTCTGATTGGGATGCTGAATCCACTGAACTGAAATAATTTGGCGTAAAAATGGTTAATAGGCAACCTCAAAATCCTGTGAAAAAGGGATTCACCTTAAACTTTTGGAGATTGATAGACTTCAGCGCAATTCTTTAAATATACCAAGTTAAGCCCATGCTTTTGTGATTGTTGGAGCAAGCACTCAGTAAGCAACACCTTGTGAATTAAAGCCATGTAAACCCAGTTCAGTCTCATACGTCAGTGGAAAGTCATCAGTGTCCTGATTCTTCTAAAAGAGTCCAAGCCAAGTTCTTGGTGTCCTTCAGTAGTCAAGAGAGAGGCAGGCATGTGAAGAGGATCAGTCAGGCCATAGGTTGGATGACTTGCTCTCTGGAAATACCTATTTCTCTTTGTTAAATACTGAGGGATACCAGGCCCGTTGTGGGCTGCTGCCTTAGCTTCTTTTGGTGTCATGAGGAAACTGTCTTCCAGTCGTCTCCTATCACAGAGCAAGGCCTACTGGTCATGGCAGTTCTGGACTCGGAGTTACCAGTTGCTCCAGTTAGTTACTGGAGCTAAGCTCTGGAGTTACCAAACAGGTGTGGAATGACCATGCTTTGTCATACAAGGACAGTAAAGACCCTGCATGTTCTCCAGGGGAGTCCTGAGAAAGAGATTGTGTGTTTTGGCATGTGAAGCCAGGACAACTCATGTCAACAGCTCCCACTGACCTTCTTTGCCAGGGTCAGCCTGAGAGTGAGATGATACAGAATTTCATGGTGGCACAGGGCTGCACCCCTGCCCACCACCTTTCCTTTTTCATCACATGGACTAAGTGTGCCCACGGTGTGAGGGAGGTGACCTGAAGCTGGCTGGTGGGTTATATACAGGAGTGAATGATGCATTGAGTACCTCTCCTGGGTCAGCTCCAAGGACCTCTGATCACGCCAAGCAATGCTTATTCCACACAGGCTGTTGGCTCCCTGGAGCTTCTCTCATGAATTAGCGCTACTCAAAGGGAGGGAAGATTTCAATGGCATTCTTAAAAAGACAGAATGATTTTATGCCAAGAATGCTTAGCATTAGTGGGGAAATGGAGGATGCAGACACATGCACCTTAGATATTTGGTTTTAAAAACTTCTGGATTTATGTTTTCTGATATTGGAATCTAATCACTCTTCCTTCCCCTGGAAAAGCAGAGAAAGGGAGAGTGCCGGTATCATCTTTAGTCGTCATAGCTCAGCATTGTCAAGGCAAATAAAATCTCCTTCACTGTCACCCATAACTTTTCCTGCACAGATATTACAGTTTTTATTGTCATCTGGAACTACGAAGCCTGCATTCTATGTCTATAAAATATCTGTGGGTACTGGGAACATTTATTTTAAGAAGATGTGCAGAAAGTCAGCGATAGGAAATTTTGTCTAGTTTATTTGGGTGTTCATGAGTTCATAATGTATCGAAATTATGGTGGTGCATTGTGACCAAAAATCCCAACTTTTTCTAACTATTTATTTTCACACTTAGTATAGCACAACACAAATTTTGTTGTCAAAGTTAATGGAAATACTAAAGTCCAATCCATAGTTTATGCCAATTAAAAAGTATCAGTCAGGCATATGGCCTTGTAAGCATTTTTAGCATCTTCACACTCTCAGAAGCTTTGCAAAAAAAATAACTTACGCAGTAGAGAAGTTAGGATATAAAGTTCAATTTCTATATTTGGACTGCAAAGAAGTAGATTATGTAGGATGAAAAACTATAAAATTTAGAAGTCTCTGTAAAATGTTGGAGTATTGTACTTCTGCTTAGTGTAATAGTCTAAACTGGCATTTCTAACCACTGCAAATACCTCAATGTAAGACTAAATTTATATGATGTCATGAGAGTGCATCATGCTGTACAGAGATAACTTCTATTCGTAGCAAATATCAGCAAGAATATAGATTTTCTCAAAGAAATCCACTTTGCTAATAACAGCAGTTCATAGACACAAACCGTCTGTATTTAAGTTGCCTCGTTTTTATGAACATGGTAATAAAATTGCATCTGTATGTTTGCCTGTGTATATTTCTTTTCTCACGATCAGTGAATGTTTGCAGTTGGTAATAAATATTCAAGCACCTTGCAAATGTCCTACCAATTCCCTTTGCTGATCTGTGTGTGCCTGTGGGACTAGAATAGGAATGCATAATTTAAATATAAATTGCCTGATTTGCATATACAATTAGTCTAGCTGCAGCTTTGATCGTAAGCAAAAATTATTGTCCTGTATTGCCACTTAGATAGAATTTTAATTCACCTTGAATATTCAAAGTAAATTAAGCCTTGGCTGTATGGTTGAAGGGTATGATTTTTTCCTCTCCTGAGGCTTTCCCCTAAACAACATTTATGGTAGGGTAATATAAGGGCATATTTTCAGCCTCATAAAAATAAAGGCATAAGTTTTATCTCTAAATTCCCCACCCTCGAAAACTTCAGCTGAAACACCTCTCGCAGACATGCAGCCACGTAACAGACATACAGAAGAATAGAACTCTTCTTTCATTTTCATTCTGGTTTAGTCAGTGCGCGGCTTAAAGTTAAGTCTTTATTGTAATTTGCTTAATATGTGAAAATAGAGACTTCATGTAGTCCTTATTTTTTTTAAATAACAAGTGTGGAGCTGCGAGACATAAAAACTCAAGAGTTACTGACATAACATCTGTATGTAGGAGTTGGGTCTATGGGCATGTGCATGCACACAAATACATGGGTTAAATACATGGACTAAAACTCAAACCCGAAACATGGCTGTAATACTTAGATTTTAATCTACAGTAAAACATTTTTATTAGAAATCTATGTTTTTAATTAAACAGAACATTTAATTAAGGTGGGTTTTAAGTGGATGAAACAATTAAGTGCAAACACTTGAATGAAACATGTCATAATTAGTTTTAATAGAGTGTTAATTGGTACTAGGTTTGCCAAGTTAATAATTACTGCTTATTAAATTTTCAATTAATCATTGTCATTTTGCTTTGAATAAAGATGAAAATTAGATAAACTAATTCAGGGGGAGGATGGTTTCCTTGTTAATTAGAGCAGTTAATTAAAAAAAAATTGCTTGTTTTAGTTGTCAGTTAAAAGACTGTTCATTAGTAAAATCTTTGCACTCTTCCTGCATCAAAACCCAAATAAGTAATTTGTGACAATCCATGTTTTCTGGAATAAAAGATAGGACGCCAGTATATACCAAAGAAGCAGCTCACGCTGTCGTAGTTATTTTGCAAGAGGCACAAAGGTTTGAATTTAGTGAAGCGGCGTGCCCCTGTGCAGTGTTAATTGCGCTGGGCTGTGGCGGGCTCAAGAGCTCGGCGGAGCCAGGAAGTCGAGTCTTCGCAGTGTAAACATGGGTTTGAAGGGGAGACCAAGAGGTCAAATGAGTGTTCATAAACAAATTTTAATTTTGGCTCGTAACATATATAGGTCCAGGAAAAGATATTAGGCCGATGATTTCAATTTTTTAAATAAATAAACTCTTGGGGTTTCTTTTAACCTCATTTATTTATTTGTTAACATATGGAAAAAAATGGTCAATGACTATAAATCTTGTCTTAATTTCCAGAGCTTAAAGATACATTTTTGAAAACGTCTGTAATATTACGTTTTAAATAATAATTGTTGCCAAAGATACTCATAAATCTGGTGTGCTGCAAACCCAGTTTTCCAAGTAAAATGTTGGAAAAGATTACAAAAATAACGCACCAGAGATCCGAAATGTCTTTACTTAACAAAGTACTGACTGCGAATCAAAATGGCAAGAATCGTCACTAGTGTGAGAGACCTGGGAGAGCTTTCGGTGATGGGGAAGGAAAGAAGCACCTGAGTAGTCCTGAAGAGCCTTGAGGAACCAGGTTCCTCTGTGTCCTTCTCAAAATGAAGACTCTCCATATGATAGAGCCTTTGCTGCATTTCACGTGTCGGTCCTACATAGCCCTGTGCCCAGCGTCCTGTGCTGATGAGTTTTTCTTCCCTCCTTTGTAGAGGAAGCTGTCAATGAAGTAAAGCGTCAGGCGATGGCCGAGTTGCAGAAGGCGGTGTCGGAGGCCGAGCGGAAGGCTCACGACATGATCACTTCGGAGAGAGCCAAGATGGAGCGCACGGTTGCCGAAGCCAAGCGCCAGGCTGCAGAGGATGCACTAGCTGTTATCAATCAGCAGGAGGATTCAAGCGAGGTAAGGGCTTTGCTGGGCAGGCATCGCCTGTGGCTGCAAACCATAGGTGTATCTAGGCGAATTGCTTTAATCCAGCCGGCCCAGGCTGTTTGTGTGACATCGGAGTTCGGTGCCCACCGTAACTGTTTGCACAGTTGCTTTGGACGCGTATTTCAGGCATGTGCTGAGCTCCAAATTGTCTTGGCTATGTTGTAATCTGAGCCCAAAATAGCCAGTGAACTTGAGCTGCGTTCTCACCTGAACTGCTGCTCAGGGTTACATAGAACGCACACATTTCTCTTCTAACTCAGCTTTTCAGTAGCTTTATTTTATTCTAATTTTATTTTTATTTTATCTTAAAGTTCTTCAAACTACCATATTGAATAGGTAGCAAGATTGTTTGGTGGAAAATATTTCACACTGAAATCTAATTTAAACAAAGGAACGGTTATTTAAGAGACTGTGGAGCAAGGTGGCTAAAAGCTTTCCTGGGGAAAGCGTTGGATGTAAAAGCGATCAGCAAAAGATGATGGTTCCTGTAGGACAGAATGTGAATGTAGATTTGCAAGTGTTTCCTTATTTTGAACGTGTTATTTGGGCTGCGGGGAATATTTGAGAGTTGAGGAGTGGGCAAGCAGCATTTGGAGGGAGGAAAAACAGACTGAAAGAGCAACAAAGAGTAAAACAAGAATAAATATGTTACTTTCAGACCTGAGAGGGGAAGCCTTGAATTGCTGGGGTATGGGACATCCAGCAGCATGACCTGCTGGAAGCTGGGAGTGATAGAACAGCGTGTGTTTGACCACTGCTGCAGCAGTCCTGATAGCAATTAAATTTTACGTCCGTTACAGAAAAACAACGTCCTAAGTTAAAACTGCCCTTAAAACCAGACATGACAAAGAAATGACGTCAGTTAAAAGTTATTTGTATATAATCTTCATCTCTCGAGGCCACTGAAATGAAAGAACATTACTTTCATGAAGTATTTATTGTTCTTAGACTAAGATCTTGGCTCTAGTAAACCCACTTCTTAATATGAATCCTAAATGGCAGGGAGTTGGAAAAAAAAGAGTAGATAGCGGTGCCTGTTGTGTGGGGATGTGTATTTGTGTACACTGGTGTCAAAGAACTTTTCCTGGGCTGGATGGGCAACGTTGTGGAAGAGTCACTTAAGTTGGAAGGTGCAGACGAGCTAGCTGCAGCATGCTGAGAAAACTGGCAAAACTCACGAGCAGATAAGTCAGTGGCATGCTGCAGTATGCATCCGTAATTTGAGGGAGCGCAAGATTTTAATTCATACCAGGCTTCTCTGGAGATGAAAGACCATTGTGGGATCACTGAATGCCCAGAGTTTCTCCTTAATGTGTAGCAGATGAATAACAAGGAGACAAAAGGAATTGATTTTCAGCATCTGAAAGTTTCTCAGGAAGAAAGGGACTAGGGGAAGTGTATGTACCCTTTAAGTACTAACTGCTCCATTGTAGATTAAATGAGACATAAATTCAATTTATTGGCATTTTGTATCTGAGATACTCAAAGACATTTTTCCTGCACTGTGTTCATAGAAGGGGCATTTGTCTGACTTAGCGCCATTAAAGAGCTGTCATTTTGTGTGTGTAGATATACAAGAGACTCCTATTGTTAAAACCAAAATTCCAAAGGTAAATGCCTTTGGAGGAAACTGCAAATTAAATCTGTTTAGTGAACTGATAGAGTGTAGGCAGACAGAGAAGTACTTTGTGCCGATACCTACAGCCCATTCTTCCACAAACAAACGTGCATCCAAAGGAACACGTAGAGAGTTTGTGTGCTGTAATTCACTCACGAGCAGTTGTGGCTCTGGAAAAGGCTGTATAACAACAGACATCTTTACTTCTTCTCCAGCAGATTGCTTATGAGGTTGCTCACTTTTTGGAAACAAGACTTTAAATAATTATTTTAATTTCATTCTAATGAAATGTGGCTCATAGGGTTACAGATGTTCTTGGGGCTGCTCATCCTCAGGGAGGATACAAGCTTCCTGGACCTAGAAATTAAGTCTAGTGTCCTCATGAGCAGCTGTGGTCATGAGTGGCACAAAAGGGTGGCTGTTTTGAGGTGAAAAATGTAGGTTTTAGTAAACCTGCATAGAGAACTCAAGTTTGCTCAAGTTTACAAGTGCTTGGTTAATTCCAAAGGGAGATGACAGTGATGCTTATTTGAGAGTTATATAATTATTTCTTCTTTGGCTTCTAATTATGCCAAACTCCAAACACTTCGGGGAATGCTGCTCACGATTACCTGTTAACTCAGGTTGTCTTTTTTTTTTTTCTTTTTTGAGAACTCCTGTAAAAATGGACCAGCCTTTTCTTTCATCTTTGAGGACAGGAGATCAGATTGCCAGTTGTCAAAAATGGTTTCTTTGGAGATGAGTCCTTGTGTTTATTGGGGTTGAGGAATAATACTTGAGATTTGCTTTGGTGTTCGTTACGTCTCGATGTATCTGTAATGTCATTTGTCTCGGTTGTGAGTCTCCATAAACTTCTCTCTGTTGACAACTTCCAGCAGTATGCTTCCAGCAAGGCAGATTCCTGCATACTAAAGGCACTGGAGTAGTATTTCTGGGCCTAGACTATTTCCATTTCCAAATATGAGGATGCTGAAGTAGCAGCTTCTGCAGTCTTACAGATTTAGAGGAAGGCTGAGCATCGCTACTCATTTCTTATCCTTGGCGGGACATTATGCCAAGGCCTGTAAGAGAGCTCAGTACGGGCTGCTATATAATCTCCATGCAGTTCCTGACAGAGAATATTTCTCCCACGGGTGTTACTAATTCCTTTTGGCTGTGGAAACTATGAATGGAGATGGGAATTTGGCAGCAGAGTTCTAATTTATCAGGTATAATTTTCATCTGATACGACCACTCCCTGTCTATTGGCAAGGTTTCCCCCTTACAGGTCTTCATTTGTTATTCAGTAAAAAGCAACCTGGACCTAGCTGAGGCTTCCTGGAGCTGCTGTGCTGTGAGAACTTTGTGGCATGATTTGATTTTTATTGCAGTCTTCTCCAGAGCTCAAAGTGTTAACTAGTACTAAGACTCCAGATATTTGTAATTATTACAAATTTTAAGATAATATGTAGTCTTCTCATCCAAGACCTTTCAGAGGTCTCACAAAGAAAAGTAGACTTTTAAAATTTTTTTTGGTTTTGGGTTTTTTTTTGTGGTTTTTTTTCTGGTTTTGTTTGGAGTTTTTTTGTGTTTTGTTTTGCTTTGTTTTTAACCCAAGAAAAGTAGCATCCCTGACTGCAAGGCTGTCTGCAAGAAAACAGTGAAGCTGGACATGTTGAGCTGACTGGAGCAAAATAAAGGGGGCTTAGGGCCATCAGAGGACTAATGGGGGAGGTGTGATATTTGGAAGCATCCTGAGTTTTAAGAGGCGTTCTGCAATATTCTGAGAATTGCCACATTGCATAGTATAGTTTTAATTTCTGACCCTGACCTGGCTCCTTGTTGAACTATTGTTCTTTGCTTATGTTTGAATTAGTCAGCATGATTTACTTTGCAGTGCCACTGCTTCAGTGTCTGTAAATTTACTTTCTAAAGATTTCCATAATTTCTTAGCATAAGCCCTTGCGACTGACCAGGACATGTTCATTATTTACTGTTTTTATAACGAGAGATTGGTTGAAGACCAGCAAACAGAGCACACTGCTGTTGGAAAGCAAAAGAGCAGAAGGCCTACCTATCAGCATGGCTGTTCCTGAACCGCAAATTATTTCTTTACCAGTTCCTTACAGTTGCTTGACAAAAGATGACCCATTCGTCAGAAGTTGACTTGGCTAAGTACAGAAACATGTGTGAGCAGCCTACTCTTTAATGACTGCCGTGCTTGCCTTGGCTGCAATGTACTGTTGTGCAAATCAGTTTTAATAGTAAGGGTGAACAGCTTAGCAAAGAGACTGGCTGCCCAGATTGTCGGGGGGGTGGAAATCATCAAAACATCTGTCTTTCTGCTCTGGTATAAAATGCCACTGAAAAATCTGACACTCTGTTCTTCCTCACTTTTGAGTAGGGTGGGGGGCTGGGGATGGGAAAGGAACACAAATGTTTTGGTTCTCTCTACTTAAAGCAGATGCTGACATCTGCTCAGATAAAACAAGTATGTAACTGGTCCAACACTGCTTTTAAGAGATGTGTAATGTTAGGGCTTGTTTATATTGCAGCAGTTTATGTTGTATGTGAATATCACACCTACCTGACATTTTGGAAGACAGCTGGGTTCAATCTCTGCTGACCAATCCATTGAGACCAGGACTGTGCCAGCAAACCTGACTCTGAGCAACATCTGATGCTGTGATTCAGGCAAGCCTAGCTTTTAAGCTGGTATCAAATTTAAGACATATGTCAGCTAATGTTTAATTTTTTTTGGCTGGGCATCTCTTAGAAAGTAGCACATCAGGCCCTGCAGTGGTGGGTGGTAGAGAGGCTCCAGAGCCATGTGTTCTGCGCAGGATTAGTCCAGATGTGATGTGAACATTGGCACTGCCCCAGACTGCTAAGCTAAGCCTGGCTAGCCAGCTTGCACGTCTCTTCCGTATGGTTCTCTGCACTTCTGTTTCCAGGATGTAGCTTCTCTCATGCTGACTTGTATGAACATAGACGTACTTCACACAGTAAACAGAGGCTTGGGCAAGCCAGGAGCGTTCAGTGATAGGTGTAGCTTTACTAGGAGCATCTAAAGGTTTGAATATCTTTGCACGCAGCGCTGCATTTTGACACAATGTGGGAATTTCCAAAGTACCGATGTGTTTCCCTTTCTGATGGGTCTTGGATAGAGTTTTCATAAACAACTTTGCTGGGTTTTTTTGCACTGGTGTTCAGTGGCTCATACAGTCCTCATTTACGCCACTGTGGTTTCAGTGATTTCTAGATGTTCTTTTTCTTGTGGTTAGCAGTGATAGAGTTTTGAATGCCATGGGAACTGCAGAACCAGGAAAAATCTGAATTCTTTGTACCCAGCCATGCTTCCTTTCCTGGTAGACTGGGAAAATCCAGAATTTGTCAAAGATGACAAAGTTTGACACTGTATTACGGCATTTCTGAGTTCATCATCTCTGGCATGTCACAGTCCATTTGGGTTTTTTTTTTCTTCTTAAGCCAGCTCTACACTGAGTCCCAGCTGGAGGTGTCAGAGGAAGACGAATACTCAATTGCAGTTAAATATTGCAAAGATGAAAGCGGTGGGATAGGCAAAATTTTTGACAAGTATGTATCCTGGTACTGGAGACCACAGAAATGGAGACCATTTGTTTTTAGGAATTTTCATGATGGCAAACAGAAGTTTCTGAGTTCTGTTTTTTGAAGATGGAAGCTTAAGTGCATGAGAATTAAGAGTCTGACCTAAGATAAGGCTCTGACCTAAGACTGATGTTCCTTGTCAGTTGAAAGAGGGGGATGAAATATGATCGTGGCGTAGATTCGGAGTGAGATTCCCATCTGGTGTAATTTAGCCCAATTTCATTGAATTAATCCATTTTCAAGGTAGTGAAGTTAAATTGAATTATGTAGTCTGGAATCTGGCCTTTTGTATAACCTCACCGTTTCCCAGGAAAATCAATGCAGAGTTAAACTGTAATCCAGTCCTCCTCATAGTTTTAGCTACATCTGGAGCTCTATAAAGCACGAGCTGGAAGTGCAATGTAATAGGTCACTACCTAAAGACAGAGAAGGTAGACCAGGAGGGGCTTTGGGAGACCTGCTACTCCCTTTCCCAAGGCATGATCAGCTCTAGCTGTATCATTCCTATAAGACACCTGCTTTTTCTGTGCTTTAGTGACAGAGATTCTCCAGTGACTCTAGCAGTAGCTTCCAAGATGTTTGGCTACTACTGTCCCCTCTCAGGCTACGGTCTCTCCTTAGGTTTAAGTCTCTTCTCATAGCTTGTGTTTGTCTGACCTCAGATTATTCTGGCTGCCTTTGTCTGGGTTCTTTCCAAGTCTTTTTTGTCTTATTTCATTTGCTGTATTTGAAGTGCATCATCCCAGCCTGGTCAGTGCTCCAGGCCAAGCCTTGCCAGTGCTAGGAGGCGGAGAATCTTTACTCGGGTGAAAAGTAGTCCGTAGTCCTGCTCATACGCCCTCGTATGATGATTGCCACTTTGTCAGCAACATGACATTTTGGGCCCTGTTACCAGAGATGCTGTCTATACCATTCAGTCAGGGTGCTCTGTCTTGATGGTACCTGCTAGAGCTTCCCAGGAGGAAAGATACCTTGACCATGCTCAGTCCAATAGTGAGCTCAAACTCTGTCCATGATATCTGGATCAAATGGAAATACGTGAGCAGGAGTGCACAAAGCGCAGTCCAGGCCATTAGCTGGCATCTCAAGTCTGTCTTTTCTTCGGTAGAATTTGGGCTCTGGAGCTATCAGCCAGCAATGTGAACAGAAATCATCTGTTGCCAAAGCTTGCAGTGCCTGAGCCTGATCTTTGCTGCTGTTTTTCGCTACTCGCTTGGGAAGCAGCAATTGAATGACCAGAGTGGTGAGGACTGTGTAAGACAAGGAGCTCTGCACGTCAAGTACAGCTACTATTGCAGTTGCAAGCTCCCCATGGCATGTGTGCTTGTTTACGCTAATTGGCACTGTAGTAACTTTTAAGTGCAGTAAGTTGTTGCATAAATGTGAGGTGTAAAATTTATTTTGAAATTCTTGTATTTTATGTGCTTTTATTCACACAATTACACTAAAGCTGTAATGACCTGTTAAATTAGAAATAGTACGTCCAATGGACAAAATCACACACCAGACAATGTAGGACACATTAAGTAGTCATGTAAGGAGCCTTCTTAGAGCTTTGTCACTTCATTAAAATCTTGCGCTTATTGTACAGGCTGACAGGTAATTGATGACTATTCTAATATGAAAGCTGAACAAATACTGTTAAAATTAAATGACCGTTTCCTGACATCAGTGCAGATCTTGTGATAAGATACTGAGATATCGTCCGGTGGCTCTGGTCACATCTGAGAGACAGTTCTGTCTGTGCAGACAGGCCTTCCCCAGTGAAGATTGCCCAGAAGTTGGCCTATATTAACTAGGTAGTTGAATAGAAAAAGTTTTGACACCCTCATAATAATTCCAGGACAATTAAAGCACGCACTTTAATGTTGCATCAGATCTGCCTAAGGGAAAGATTCCTGCATCTGGGCAAGTGCTGGCTGACTTCAGCATTATTCCATGTGGGGAGAAGTGTCTTTTCAGAAAAGTCTTC